CAGGTTTTCAGAGTTAACAAGAAACTCAAACCTACAAAAAATAGTTGAGGGCCACACCTGGAAGTCAGTGTCCTCAAAACCACAACCAAAGATAAGTGAGTAAGTGGAGATGAAGGGGCCAAAGCATCTAAAGTTCAACACCTTACGAAGAGGGAAGCAGCTCTCTTGATTTCATGGGCCATGTTCTTCTCTGCCCAAAGACAGTGAAAGGAGAGAACACCACTCAAACTGAACATACAGGTGAGGAAAAATGGGGAAGAACAGAAAGGTGATACACCATGGTCAGAGCTGAACACTTTCTAGACTGGGATAACTGCCTGTCCATTTCAAGGCAAAGTGAGACGACCTAGTCTCTCACTCAAGTTTGCATAAAACATGTTCCTTGGCAAAACAGCTGACTCGATCTGCCAGGTTGCTGCCATCTGCAGGGGACATTCCCCTTTCACCCTTCCTCCTCCTTTTTCTCCCAGTCTCAGTTTCTACCCTTCTCAAGTGCCAGTGCCAGCCCCCCACTGATCCCACAGGCAAACAGTCACTTTCCATCTTCTGAGATGAGAATGGCATAAGCTGGTCGCCAAGATCGGGAGTGAGGGAAGATGCATCATGTAACCAGACTCTTCCCCATTTCACTTTGCCCTGATGCAGGTGAAGGAATATTCATCCCGTTTCTCTCTACGGAGTAGAAAGAGGGAGAGCAGCTTTCACTGAGGATTAGGGTACACCTCTCTGGAGGCATTAACTTCTGTTTTTTTCTAAAATGATCTTGTGACTATGCTCGAGATCTCTAACCCCAAAAAACCCTGTTTGTTACTTTCTGCATTTCACATGCTTCAGCACTATGCTAGGAAAAAACAGAATTAAAAAACCAACCAAACAAACAAAAAGAAAAAAAAACCAAACGCAATGCTTTTGGGTATTAACAGGTTTATAATACTGCATTGAGTACTTCCCAAAACCACCATTCAGGGAAAAAAAAAAATTGAAGGATGAATGTACTTCAGCATTAGTGCTCTGCTGAATCAGGCGAAAAAGTATCATATGCACAATGTAAACAAACTCCAAAAATTGTTTCCATACACCTTCTTATAATAATATTAAATGGCAATTTTAACAGGAGTGAGCAAGAAACCAAACTGATTTCAATACCATTTTATATTTTAAAATAAAAGCCACTATGTATGAAAATATTTATCAAGGTTTTTCTTAAAAAACATTTTTTTTTTGTAAGTGAAGTGAGTGTACACTGTAAATGTCAGAGAAACAAAAATTGAAATAGTCCACTGTGCATTCCTGGAAATGAACTTCAAAGCACATCTGGTTTACATTTAACTAGTTATGTCACTGGAAACACAATCTAAACCACAGAGCTTGTTGTAAAAATCTCAACTTTCACAGACTCTGGAGCCTCAAACAATTCCCCCACTCTCCACAACAAATTGATAAAAAATTTCAATTGAACTATAAAGGAAAACAGTGAAGGGTTTTGTTGTTTCGTCACAGTTACTGATGAGAGTTATATTAATTAAAAATATATTGGTGAGTAATAAGCATCAGAGCATTTTCAGAGCACAACACAAAGCTTCTGGCTACAGAAGTTTTTTATAACTAGTGAACTTGTAACTCCAAATCGAATTATGTAGCGTTTCTTTGAAAACAGAATTTGGACAGAAAGAGATTAATTTATTCCTCTACTGCCAACCACTCAACATTAGAAAAAAATGTAATGCATTTAATAGGTTTTATAGACAGTTTTATGCCAAACCCCTCCTGATCAGCTTTTTTACCTCATCAGCTAAATTTAAATATCTGAAATTGAAGATGAAGATGACAGATCCTTCATGACCTATGTATGTAAGTTAATGTAGATAACAATATTGAAAGAAACTGAAAATCCTTCAGATTCTGCTGTACAGATAATAAAAAACGAGAAGTATTTTAGGGTGATTACACTAAACCATGTTCAGAAAGGAAATACTCTTACAAATCTGAAGTTTTAGTTAATGATCAGTTGTTTGTTAGGTTTTTTTCCTCCCAAATGAGGGTTTTTTCCTTTCCATTAACAAAAAGTTTTATTATTTTAAATATTACTGCCGCATTCATGCCCAATCACAAGCTCATTGCTAGGAGTTCAGCACAAACAGGATTATGAAATACAGCCAAAAGAAATACAGCCATGAAGATGGCAAAATATCCTTCTTTTCAGTAACAAGTTAAACCTGATGATCACCATGAAAGGGAGATGAGACAGGGACAGATCTATCCTTTTTTAGAATCTTTTGGAATATCAAATATTTTAGACTTTGCAGGAGCCAGAATACAAATATTGCAAACATGTACAGATGCATGTTCTTTTATGAATATCTAAAAAAAAAGTTAAAAAAAGAAAATGAGATTAAATGCATTAATTAAAATCTCACCAAACCCACCAAATAGAAACCCAGCCTTACTAAATGAGCTTGAATGATCAGCTCAGTAATTTTTCTCTCCCAATGGAATAGATTTTAACTTACATAACAACCTGCTTAAACAAGGTGTGTATGCATTTTCTACCTCATGCTCAGGTTCGCTCGAGTTGTGACATATCTCAGTTCCTATATTACTAGAAGACTGTCAGAGGCGCTATAACATGTTAGTTTGAATAAATCATACTGGTTCTTCATTCACGTTTTTAGAATTGATTCATAAACTGATAATTTGGGGAATGCACCTAATTCCCTTAGACAAAACCTAAAAGTGTCACATTCATTAGAAAAATGCGCCATTAAGAGGGGACATGCCTGCCATTTGGATTTCTGTTACTATCTTATCTTCATATACTTTCCTATAAATTCTATTTTATCTTACCTGTAACTTTTTTTTTCATACTATGGTTTTGCAGTGAATATCAGCTCGCAATGCTACCTCAAGAACTCAATGAACTATTAATTCAAATGAACTAATAAATTTACTTCCTCTCCAGAGTAACTCTCCCTCATGCTATACTCCACCTACACCCGCTCACAAAAAACCTAAGATAAGGGACTCCCAGATTTGGTTCATTATATCATGATCCCCAAACTACTTCCAGCACAAGAGAAAACACACCGCAATGATGATGATAAGGATGTCCAGAAGACAGAAAAGATCACTTTTTTCCTAAGGTGGTTCAATGCAACCATGAAACCACTTTTTTTTGTTGTTGTCAAATCCTTACTTTGAGCCTTTATATTAATATTACTACTATTACTGCCATTAAAAAACAAATTTACGTTCTGTATTTGAAAATCTAGATACATTTTATTTCAATAATTTTGCCTAGGTTGTTTGCATTCCCGTATCTCATTCATCTACCTTTTGGTCAGTGTTATGCTCTGAAGTTGATGGCCTTTTCATCTTGGTAATGAACATCTGCCTTTACCACACTATTCCAGTTTTTCTGTCTAGAAGATTCCTTAAGAAACATGCATATTAAGGGCACACGGTAAGCTCTTTTCACAGGTAGAAATCTTTCAGTGCACGGAAACTAAACATATAGACAGACCCTGACCAATAAATTTCACCTGAACATTGTGGATAGATACAAGGCATTGAGGCAAGTTAGCAGAGAGAGCACTATAAATCCGTGGGGGTATGATATAAGAAAAGTTCTAATCTGAACAAGTGCTACTAATTTGTAACATACAGGGAGAGAAGAAATTTTAACTTTCAAAAGTGACCTCTGAAACACACATGTACTAAAATATAAAGGAACGTAATTTATTTTGAACAGATGGGGTGAAGAGGTGAATGATTTGATGCTGCCAGAATTCAAACCATTTCATGAGATGTTTTGAATGTAAACACATGTTCACTTTCCAAACAGTTGGAGACATTCAAAACACTGTTGCCCCCCGCCATGTTGCTTGCTTCCACTCCTCTGCTGAAAACTGGCAAAGAGCACATGAGTGCTCCTGACCTGCTTCAGTGCAAAGTTAGCCTGTTCAGCATATGCTGCTAAGGAAATGGTTTAAGTTAACCTGACTGATCTTACACAGCAAGAATGGTTCAGAGTGCTTCCATTTTCCTTTCTGTGTGTTTGTTTAGCTGTATGGCAGTAACTTCTGTCTCATCAGTAATAACAAGCAGCTGAGGACAATAATGTCTTCCACTGCTTCAGACAAATCTGGACGATGACATTGGTTCACCTAATAGGTATTCCATAACAAAGGATTATAGCTTCCCCATCACTCACTCAAATGCAAGACTATTTACTATAAAACTTTCTAATGATACAAATATTGAGATTTACAGATCATGGAACCAAATAAAAAATAATGCAAAAGACCAGTAAAATTCTACTACTCTGAATACTAGTTAAAAATTGAGACAAAAGCTAATGCTTCTATTTTGACTTTTTTTATACAGCCTTGCTTAATTTTTTTTATAATTAAAACTTCTCATTAGTTTCTGCTATGTAACATTTTCAGTGATCTAACATCTGTGTTCAGATGTTTCTTACTAATATAAGAAAGCAATTTTGATTACACTGTAAAAATAAAGGACAATTTTAGTATCACCAGGCAGTAATATCCAGATCCTGGAATTCAATCATCACATAAAGCATCACAAATACCAGAATTTGATCTAGAATTAACTGCCGCCACAGATGAAGGGAGAAAAGAAGGAAGAGACTCTGTGATCAAAATAGATGCAATTCCCTAAATGATAGACGAGGTGTCCCTGCTACATGATCAAAGGCAAGCATATATTCCCCTTTATTCTAGCTTAAAAATGTTTTATCGAAGGAAAGGAAAATATTTTCATATAAAAATGAACTGATTGCTTTGAAAGAAACTCAATTGCAAGACCCAACACACTGAAAAATAGTGCAGAGCAATTACAACAGGAATGCAATGATTTATGCAATATCTTAGTTCTGTCTTTTCCTCTGGTACTGGTAACCACTCTGAATCTTTTGTGATTGTTTATCCTTAATATTATATCATAAGCAATGAAATTAACACAACTTGCAGATTTTTCACCTTCACATGTGTCTGTCTCAGTGCTGAACACATAACCCTTTGGACAAGTGCAGCTGTAACTTCCAGGGGTGTTTCGACAGAGCCCGTTATCACACAGCAGCCCGTTCACTGAACATTCATCAATGTCTGCAAAAAGATGGGTTAGACATAGCAATGAGTGCAAGTGTCATGAGATGCCTTCACCTCCACAAGTAGCCCCTGTTGCTTTCTACAGCAACAATTAAGTTGCTGGATATGCAGTTTTCTACAACAGTGACTGAGCAAGCAAAAAAGTCTAATTCATTTTCAGATTCTTATTACCAAAAATTCTGTTCTGCTTTTACAGTTTTTGATTAGCAGGTTCTAAAAATAGTTCATGGTTAGTCTTAACATAATAACTATGTCATCCTAGAATGACCTTGGGATCTTTGTCAATTGTATGATTATGTCACCATGGCAACTTTATGAAGGTCTAGTTGCTTTGAAACCAGCATTTTAATTTTTTTTTTTTTAAGCACACAAATAATGGTGTGTTAGATTAGATTACTGTTTTAATCCTGTTTTATGGGCGAAAATTGATTTTGTTATCCATGAAGTGAATACGTGCATTAAAATCTAAATTGTACAGTTCATGTATGGCAGACATCTCAAGAGTACACATATGTACCCCCCCTCCAGAGGTATATTGTATTAAAAAAACCTCCTTATGATTGTGACCAGTATATCAAGCACACTGAATAGGAAAAACCCATAAATTAACATCACTCCCTGAACTCCTCCTATATTAACTGCAAAAAATGGTAATAAAAAGCAATCAATCTTCCTCATTGCCCTATTGTTTATTTTTAAAAAGAAAAAAAAATATAATTTTAAGCTACTTTCCTCTAATGCCCATCACACGTCACTTAAGATACACACAAGATACTTAAGCTTACTGAAAATACTGACAGGATAAGCCATGATAAACCTGACACTTTATCCTGCTTTTCAGGGTGTCTCCTATATTTTGACTGCTTGATTTCCCAAACTTAACACTGCAACTTAATTTTTAAATCAGCTGGATTTTTTAGAGAGTTTAACAATAAAGAAGAAAACCAAGAAAGCAATAGAACTACAATCTGGAGGCTTCTGGTTTCCCTACTACATTAGATTTTGCAAGCTATGCCTATAAATTCCTTTAGGATTCAGAAAATAAAGTCTCAATTTCCCCAAATGATGAAGCCAAGATTTAAGTTTGGCAGCTGTAAAGAAGCTCTTCTAAATTAACCTGTCCCTAATCTAACCTCATCTGATTTTAAGTAAAGAAGGATGGATTTGGAATTTGATGTTTTCAAGCGCAATAAACTTTAATTTTGAGCTTGTTGTCATATAATCCCTTAACCCAAACTAGCAGTGTTATGAATGTATTATTTCCTTAGAATCTCACAGAACACCTTTAGATTTAGACTGTAATCTATTCTGATATGCACTGTAAAAACACAGAACGATATAGCTCATGCTCTAAAAACACTTAAAACTGACAAAAATACTGCCTGCATTCTGTATGATGACCATTTTTATTTCCTGGCAGTTCATAATCTGTATCATTAATTAGAACATTTCAACCCTTTATTTGAGTGTTCATAATTAAATTCTTTTGTGCAAAAATTCTCCTAGGAATAAATGCATCCTCACAGTCAGTACGCTGTATTTTTATTTAAGTAATTAAACAGATGTATACTAGCACTTACATAATTCCAAGTGTAACTAGATAAATAAAATCCCTTGCCATAAAATCCATTTGGAAAAGGAATATTATGTGAAGTATTTTCAAAAACCACCAACAGTTTTCTGCAGCCGTGCCTTTCCTGCCAAAAGGTCATATTTAGGGCCTTTAGAAAGTAACTAGCTGTAAAATTCCTTAAGTCAAGCAGATGAAAAGAAACACTTTCATTACTTTGTGTTTGCTTTGCATCACTAGGTAGGAATGTTTGGTATTAAAATTATACCACAGTTATATAGTCCCAGTTTTCCCTACCAAAAATGGTGGGCTTTTATTGACCACAAATACCAGTGATAGGTCAGTAAACCTTTAAGTGTGGAGAATAGTAATTCCTCAAAATAAACACATCAGATGGTAGGATGATACTTAAGACTTTCTAATGGTTTCAGATAGATTTCCATCAGCTTTTAATACAAACAAACTTCAGTTTTCTGTTTAAAATTACAGGACTATAACAGGACTATAAGCGATATTATTGTAAAATGTATCTGTGGTATAATACACTTTTTTTGGATGTAAGAATTCCCAAAAGAAAAAAAATACTGAATTTCATGTATGACCACGAATAATAAAATTAATTAGACAAAGAGTGAAATGTGTAACATAGGTATCTTCTGTTGCGTATTCCTAAACTCTTGCAGAAAATGTATCTAGATACTGCAATAACACTGGTATAAACCTAGACCAAACTACAAATGACAAGTTTCTGAAGTGAATCATTCCTGTATACTGGTGATCTGAAATTCTGAAGAATAAAAGAACAGCTCTTACATTTGAGCCCACTGTTCAGACATGGTTTGATCCTCGGAATGGGTCATTGCTTCCTTCATGAGCTGAAGCTTTCAGAAATTAGAGGACTAAGCGTGCAGCAATCCATTCTTCTGCACTTGTGTAACTCAGGGAATGAATTATATATTATATACAACATGAATTACTGCATGCTGCAGAGACTGTGTACACAGGCCACCAATTATCATTCATTATGATAATGACAGCCATCTGTTATGTTTTATTATGCAAAATCGAGACCTTCAGCTTTGGCAAATTATCATCCAGCCTTGAAAGGGACACATTTTAGGTGGTTTTGACAAATGTTATACATTAAAATATAACACAAACTGATCCATGCGTTTGAGAAAATTAATTCCTAACCTGCAATGATACCTCCTGCTTACACTTCCCAAACAGTAATACCCCCCTGCCAAATAACAGAAAAATACACCAGTAAGAATATTAGCTATACAGTGACTGAGAAAAGCAGTTTCATCAGATTTTCTGCATTTTCATTCTAGCTTTAAGAAGTAGATGTCTTGCAACCTAAATTCGCTCAATTCAAATTAGCATCAATATAGTGATGAATTATTCAACAATAATAAAAAAATGGAGCAACTTACCCACACAATTCCTTCCAGAAGGATCAGGCTCATAGCCACTGTTACAGTTACAACGATAGCTGCCACGTAAGTTTTCACAAATTCCATTGGAGCAAATATCAGGATCCAATGCACACTCATTAATATCTGTATTAACACAACACAGAAGATAACCAGATACTGAAAGATATGAAAAACCTGATCCTGTCATAAATGCGGACAACATCTGACTCACTGGACGCTGGGGCTGTCATTCAGAGCAAGGGTATAGCAACGGTGCAGCCAGAAGGCTGAAAGAAGAGATTATTCCCCTCTATTTGACACTAGTAAGGCCAAACCTGGAATACTGTGTACAGTTTTGGGCCACTTCATGAGGTTCACATGGGCCCACTCCTCAAGCCTGTCAAGGTTCCTCTGGATGGTCTCTCTTGCCTCTAGTGAATCAACTGCACCACTCAGCTTGGTGTCACCTGCAAACTTGCTGAGGGTGCACTCAATCCCACTATCTATGTTATTGATGAAGACATTAAAGTATTGGTCCTGGTATGGACCCTTGAGGGACACCACTTGTTACTGGTTTCCTCTTGGACATTGAGTCCTTGACAGTAACTCTTTGCTCATGACCATCCAGCCAATTCTTTATCTATCTAACAGTCCATCCATCAAACCCATCTATCTCCAATTTAGTGGAGAGAGAAGAATGTTGTGGGGGACAGTATCAAAGGCCTTACAGAAGTCAAGGTAGATGATATCAGTAGCTTTTCCCTTGTCCACTGGTGCAGTCACTCCATCATAGAAGGCCACCAGATTAGTCAGACACGATTTGCCCTTGGTGAAGCCATGTTGGCTGTCTCTAATCACCTCTATCTTCGATGTTTTGACATAACTTCCAGGAGGATCTGCTCCATGATCTTACCATGCACTGAGGTGAGGCTGACTGGTCGGTAGTTTCCAGGGTCCTCCTTTTTACCCTTTTTTAAAAATGAGTGTGATATTTCCTTTTCTGCATCACTGGGGACTTTGCCTGACTGCCATTTTTCAAATATGAGAGTGGCTTAGCAACTACACCTGCCAGTTCCCTCAGGACCCAGGGATGCACCTCGTCAAGTCCCATAGACTTGTGTATGTTCAGGTTCCTCGGGTGGTCTTGAACCTGATCTTCTCCTGTGATGGGAGGGACTTTGTTCCCCTAGTCCCTGACTTGACGTTCAGAGACTTGAGAGGTATAGAAGAGTGATTACCACTGAAAACTCAGGCAAAAAAATTGTCGAGTACCTCAGCCTTCTCCATGTCAGTTGTCACTAGTTCTTTTGTCTTATTTATCGTGTTTGTGTGTGTCTGTGTACATTTTCTTGTAATCTTCCTTTTCTGACTGATATACCTGTAGACGCCTGTCATATTCTTTGCATTCCTTGCCAAACTCAGCTCCAACTGTGCCCTAGCTTTCCTGATCCCATGCCTACACATCTGGGCGGCGTCCTTGTATTCTTCCCAGGATACATGTCCCTGGTTCCACTGCCTATGCATTTCCTTCTTACACTTCAGTTTGACTAGGAGGTCCTCACTCAGCCATGCTGGTCTCCTGCCTTCCTTGCCTTACATGGAAAATGAGAGTTCTTGCGATCTAAGGAAGATGTCCTTAAAGAGCTGCCAGCTCTGTTCTGCTCCTTTATCCTTGAGGGCAGTTTCCCAGTCCCATCCACTAATTCCTTAAAAAACTGAAAGTTCGCTCTCCTAAAATTCAGGGTCCTAGCTTTACTCTTCACCCGGCCCACATCACTCAAGAACATGAGTTCCACCAGGGCATGATCGCTGCAGCCCAGGCTGCCATCAGTCTTGACCTCACTAATTAGTTCATCTGTGTTGGTAAGCAACAGGTCCAGTAAACTTCTCCTCTGGTTAGGTTATCACCTGGATTTAGAAATTATCCTCAGTGTGCTCCAAGAGTTTCCTGGACTACATACAGCTTGCTGTGCTGCTTTTCCAGCAGATGTCAGGGTGACTGAAGTTCCCTAGCAGGATCAGTGCCTGATGTATGAGAAGAGGCTGAGGGAACAGGACTTCTTTAGCCAGCAACAGGAAAGATGAGAGTGACGTCTAATAGCAGTTCTCTGATCTTAATAGACAGTTACAGAGAAGACGGAGCCAGACTCTTCTTTGAGGTACACGATGACAGGGCAAGAGACAACAGTTACAAGCTACAACAGAGGAAATTTTAACTGAAGACCAGGAAAACAATTCTTCCCCATGAGAGTGGTTAAGCCCTAGCGCAAGCTGCCCAGAGAGGCTATAGGAACTCCAGCCTTGGAGATTTTCCAAATTCCACTGGATAAGGCCTTGAGAAACCTGATTCAACTTTGAAGTTACCTCTTCTCTGAGCAGAAGGTTAGGTTGGATGATCTCCAGATATCCTTTCTAACCTAAATCAATAGGGAACTATGTTTTTAAGAAAACCTTGATACAAAATATCTAGCCTGTGCACTCAGTGCCTGTGGTTTAAGGATCTAGGTAAGAAGTTATAAATTATTAGGTGACACAAATACTTCTCCTAATACAGGACTAATGCATAGGTCAATACCACAGCATACTCAGTCTCATAGAAAGTATAGCACTTGTTGGAAATTTAAAATTTTTCTCAGATTGACAGAATAGGATGATGAATGAGATATATTCCCTGAATCTACAGTCCCATATAGAATTTCTGCTGTAGTTGGAAAATTCCAAAATATTCACATGAACTATAAGAACAGGAACAGGCTAGATTTAATACTTTTTGTCTCTGAGGAAAAGAGGGTTTTTCAATATTAAGTTATTTCTTCCCATACGGTAAGCCCACTTCTTTAAATAGTTCCCTTTCCAAACCCTGGAAAGAACAGTAGGGGTGCTGGCCTAGCTGTGACTTCACAAAAAGCTTGTTTTATACTTGTACTGCTCAACTTTTTACAAAGGACATTTCCTCTTTAATCATAGTGCAATTTAGTTCATGATTTACATATACTCAGATATGCATTTGGAAAAATCATGCTATCCCTGGATTAAACTCAAAGCTACGAGACATCTGAAAATTTCATAAGAAAATATGAATTAGTGTAATATTTCAGCTTTATGTTTTCTTTTGAGTAAAAAGTTTTCTGTAGTTTACTAAACTTGTTTGTATCTTGGGGACAAGCCACGTGACTTCATGACTCTATCTCTCCTTATCAAATTAATGATTTCAGAAGGTCCATCCCTTCCCGTTACTTCTTATATTGAACCAGACTGCAAAATCTCTGTCCTCACCTATGTCCAGACTTCTCTCACATGAAGACATGAAGGTTTTGTGCTTGTTAATCACAAGCTGAATGAGAGGAGTAGGGATGTCGTGACGGACTGCAGTCTAATTAACAAGCTATTTATCGATTAAAAGTCAAATAAAATCTCTATGACAAGAGCTTCACTGATAAAATGTACTCCCACTCACTCTTGATAAAGAGAATGCATGAGGAACACAACAGAATTTTTGTTAGGGATTAAATGTGGTGGGATCAGTATTCCTCTCCTTTAGGAAATGGAATTGGCAAACAAAGTCCTTTGGTGTAAGCAGTGGTAGGAGTAGCAGCAAGAAAATTTTCTGCAAAGTCACTGCACAAGATGTACAGAAAATACTAAGGTTTTCTTTAGAAACCTAAACAAAGAGGGATTTTAGTTGAGATTATAGTCTTTATCATGCAGTTGGTAGAGACCACAATTGGTTTTATGTTTTCAGTGAGAAATTGTATTTTTCATGTATCCAAAAGACCACATAACCTCCGTACCAGACTACATGCAAATTCTCATGGTAGGATGCTGTTTGTACAACAATATTATGGTACACTGCCGTTACTTCTCGATGAGATTGAGAGTCTTCAATTGAACTTTGTGTAATTCACTGAAAAGAAAACTGAGAGAATTTACAAATTCTATGGATTTCAAATTACTTGTAAGCTTGGCAACATGTTAAGCAATGAGCTCACAGAAAAGAAAAAACTATGCATATACACTTACAGTACTGAACAGAAACAGAATTTCTTTTATTATAGTACTATTTTTAAAAGTTATGTAGGCTGTTACTAAGTATAACGATCAGAGGGTCTC